GAATGGGGAACAAAGGTGGGTGGGGAGAGGAAGAAGTCACACCGTATTTTTTAAACGGCCTTGTTCAGTTATTGCTCAAGGGGTTTGCTAATGCATTACAAAGGTCGCAAATGTGCCATTGCGTGGGTGGAGACCGTCCTGAAGGCTCATTCCAGTGTGCTTTTACCTGAAGAACAAGGAACGAGTTAAATTTGCTTCCGAAATTTCCTTAGGAATTTCCACGTCATTTCAGATAAATAAATGTTGAACAAAGCACGGTGCATATTTTAAAACGTGAGCAACCCAAAGGTGACCAACTGAAAAACAAAGATATGGACTATATCTTCCCTCGATGGTGTGTGCTTGGGGAGGAATTGTGTAGGTTAGCAGGAAAAGGTGTGTAGGAAACTCATTGTGGGAAGAGGTAGGAGAGAGCAAAGTTTTACAACGTGATGAAAAATAAGACGAGAGAGAAATAGGGTTCGGGATTGAGAGAAATGAAGAAGAATTAAAAGCAATTTTTTTTACATTGCTGTAACTGCCTGTGAAGCAATGTCCATTTATAGGTGGAAACCACAGGTCGAGCAATAAAACTACTTTACCTTCCTCTTACACAATGCACTTGGCTTTTAGTTGGTTCCTTTAAGTATACAGTTGTGCCCCGCATTACGACGAATCCGCTTCATGATGATCGCAAATGATGTTTTAAATGTTTTTTTTCACTTTGCGAAGATCGGTTCCCTGCTTCGGGAACTGATTCTTCGCATTACGACGATCAAAACAGCTGATCGTCAGGTTTTCAAAATGGCCACCCGGTGCTCAAAATGGCTCCCCGCTGCGCTTAGGGACAGATTCCTCGCTATGCAGGCACTGAAAATGGCTGCTGTATGGAGGATCTTAGCTGGACAGTGAGTTTTTAGCCCATTGAAACGCATTAACCAGGTTTTAATGCATTTCAATGGGTTTTTTATTTCCGCTTTACGACGTTTTCGCTCTACAGCGATTTTGCTGGAACAAAGTAACGTTGTTAAGCGAGGCACCACTGTACTTTGTCAATGTTATTTTCCATTTGTGTTGTAGCAGCAGAGGTGGAAGGGGCTACAGGCTGGCTGCTTGCTTGTGTGGCTTGTTGCACAACTAGTTGTCACAGGTGCTAACACACAACCTGGCAAGGGACTGAGCCTCTAAACGGTGCCATAGCCACTTCCACCTTTCCAATCCTGAGTGCATCTCTGGTCAGTACGCTGATCTGTATGTCGAGACAGGGACGTTGGAATGTTTTCACCCTTTTCTCTGCTTCTCATGCTATGGAAATAGCCAGAATGATGAGCACAGTTTGGAAGGCAGTGGTGGGCAGAGAGTGGAGAATTTAACTTTTTTTTGGGGGGGGACTACAAATACCATGATCCCCAAGACAGCACAGACACAGACCTTACGGGAGGCAACACTGCAAAATCTCTAGGCCGCGTTAAGCTGCCTGCAGCAGCCCCTGAATATATTGCAATATACAGCTTTCTAGAATGATTCCGTAAATTTTATTGAACTAACACCATCCTTGGGAGATGGTCAATGTTCCAATGCTGTAAGCATAGAAGAGAAAATTGGAGAACCACCTGCTTTGATTTGGATTCCTGTTGGACTTGATGGCCTTATAGGTCCCTTCCAACTCCATTATTCTATGATTGTTCTCTTAGTAGGTTAGCACAGACTTAATTCGGGGAGTGTTGCTGGTTTTTGTCACTGGGAGATATGGCTCACCTGTAAAGACCTTTGTGGCTGGATTGAGGTTTAACTAGAATCAAACCAATAAACATTCTGTTTGCAGCTGGCTAGCAAGACGGAGTCTTGTAAGGGAGCATGTGGGAGTGGGTGTGTTCATGGACGTGTTCTTTTCCTTCTCTTGATCAGCCAGTGCAATGTGCCATCTGAATCTGGGTTGAACTCAGCTTTTATATCCGAAAAAAAAAACCAGATGGAAATGAAGCCCAATCCTTGTCTTGCCTTGTAAGACTAAGTTAAAAAAAGTAAAAAGTGAGTTTAAAAAAGCTTCTTCTTCATAATTTCCATAAAGTCAATTTTGTCGTGCAAAGTGATTCGATTGTGTGTCATTTAATACTGGCCATTGTTGTGTTAGTCATTTGTCCCAAGGCAGGTCCAACGACATTCATCACAGTGACCAAACTGCGGCTGATAAACAAGCCACCACTTTATCTTGCACCAAGTCACAAGACAAGTGTGTGATGATAACGACGCCAATGATGACTGATTAACTAGCACCAATATGCTGATGCGACTTTCACTGTTGCATTTACCACAGCATCATCACATTATGGGTGTTGATGGTTAGCCATCTTGAATGTAGGGTTTACCTGCTGAATGTGGCTATGTAGGCCCTGTTAGAAAGGCAGGGAACAAATGCCGAAGACAGATGTTTTAGACACTAAAGAAGGGAAGTTACAGAAGCCACAGAGTAGATGAAACCAACCAACCAACCAACAACCCTTTAGGTGAATCCATAGGCCAAGACAGGCCAAAGTCTTACTACCGCCTGAAGCAGAACAAGAAGCACTGCCCCCCATCGGCCACACCCTGTCTATGCCACCATTCTCGCTGCACGATTCCACATTCACATGGATGAGGAGCATCTAGAGTTAGGTGGGCAGTGGCCCATCTGCTCAGGCAGCCGTGAGGTCCCAGCTTCTTGGTTTGACAAGGAACCAGTTGCCTGGAGTTATAGCAAGCTGATGGGTGGTCCTTTGTGAAAGGTTGTCCATCACCTGAGGATGTTCTACCCCCGGATATCCTGCACTGGGCAGGTTGTTAGACAACAGCCCTAGAGCTGAGAACCAGACCGCTCCACCTCCATTGGTGTGTTCGTCGTGGTTTCAGTGTCAACTCTGTAGAGAATACTGCTGCTCATTTGTTGGCAGTAAATAGTTAACCATCACCTGAGGATGTTCTACCCCGGATATCCTGCGCTGGGCAGGTTGTTAGACGACAGCCCTAGAGCTGAAAACCAGACCGTTCCACCTCCATTGGTGTGTTCATCGTGGTTTCAGTGTCAACTCTGAAGAGAATAGTGCTGCTCATTTGTTGGCAGTAAATAGTTACTTTTGGGCAATTACTAGCAGATACAAAGGTTCCTTTTAGGTACGTATAATAGGTAACATAAAGGTTCTTTAATTGTAATGATACTTATATTCAAAAGTTCTTTTTCAAGGTTATTTGAAGTCATTTTTGATGCATTTTTAATGGGATTGTTCCCAGGTTTTGTGTCTTTTCAAATCAGTCCTAGTGTCAAACAAAGTATTATCTGTTTTTGTCTTTTGTACTTTTATAAAAAAAAGACAAAAAACCACCAACAACACACCCCTCCTTTTGCTTTTAGGATTGTTTTAAAGAAAGGCACAAAGCCTGGGGGAAAATTCCTATTAAAATATGTCTAAAATGCCACTACAGGCAACATGTTAATAATGTACACTGCAATGAATTACTTGTGCGATCAAAGCAATGTTAAAGGTAATGCCAACCAGCCTGCATATAAATGACAACACAGTCAGTTCCTTTTTAAATGTGACAGAAAGAGCTGTGAACCTACCCTTGGTTTGAGTAGAGCTCTTTCCTCGAACGTTTTACAATCGACCTTAATGGCTCGGTCCAAAAATACAACTGTTGAGTCCCACCTCCAACGGATCAACCGAAGAAGTTGCTGAAAGGAATAAATTGGACAACTTCAACGGGGGGCTACTCTAACTGGGACTAATGACTGCATCTAAGCCGTACTTGTTCTAACTTAAACGTGTGCTTTCAAGAAAACTCTACGACGGCCCTTTTTAGGGTTTTCTGTTGGAGTTTTATTTATAATTCTGCATGCTATCTGTAGTTTGACTGATTGGGAGGGACTTTTCGGAGCTTTGAAGATTTTCTATCTATCCACAACTAACCAATTGTTCCTCCCAGCTTGTGAATTCAAGCAGAGCCCGGCTTCTCTGCTGAGTGTTCTATATCCCTCTCTTTCATTGATTGGTGTCAGTTGTTGTTTTGCTGTTGATCTTTCCAGTTGGTTGCTAGCATATGTGCAGTAAAGAAAGCAGTATAAACAAGCCTGTCATTTCAATGAACTATAAGTAAAGACACATTAATTATTTTTCATACAAATGTCTCAGAGTAAGTTATTAAGACTTGAAGTGCCAGCTAATAAGAAAGGAAGGGTGGACGCTGGGGAACTTGACGCTATTCTTCTCTGTGGATCTCTGTACTTCTATTGTGTAGCAAAAAAAAGAGAGAATTTTATCAAAAATTCAAAATTCTGCAACATTTTATAGATAGAGAGTACTCAGAAAAATTAAAGCCTAATCGTTGTTTGCTCTGATTATTACTACTATGGCTCTTTATAAAATGTTTTATGTCATTTTAATTAACTGGATATTAGAGTATATTATTTTAACTCCTTGCTTCATGAACTTTGGTAGGGGACCTTCACCCCAAAAGGCAGAAGAGAAATCAACTCAATAGACAAATAATGTAATAAGCATGTAGGAACATTCTTGGGGAACGCCTGACATTTGACAGCTAAGATGGCAGGATCCAGAGGGTGAGGTATGGCGGCTCTTTGAGAACAATCTATCTCAGCCCCATAGAATTGGGAGGCTCAGACAAAGGAGTGATCTAGGTAGAAATCCCTCAACACCTAAACAAGGAGGAACAGGGGGGTGTTATCTTAATTGCAAATCATGAGTTAGTAAGTCTCTCCCCAATAGAAGATCCAAGACAGCTGCCAGCCACCTCCTGCATTTGACCATGGTGTTTTTAAAGAAGTGACAGGTTTAAGTAAATAAACTTGGCTTTCATTAATCTGACTTGAGTCATTTCCCACCCTAGTATTGCCACACATATCAAAGTCGTTCTCGATACCAGTTTCCTGGAAGTATGTAGAAAATAGTGTGCTCCTCCCTAGCAGGTCTAGAGAAGGTGGAGTCAACCTCAGTGGACTATATAGGAAGGGGTGCTAACCCGTTAGATGGTCTTTCTCCTTGCTTTTCTCTCTTCTTCTTATTCTTTGAGGCGCTGACATTTTCTGAACCACCAGGTGCTGCCATAGTTGGAGATATCCGTCAAAGAAGAGAAGGGACTGTAACTGTAAGTTCAGAGGCCAATTTCTTGAAACATCTTTGACAGATGGCTTAATTCAGGTTGTTTACCTCAAATTTATTCAATGTGTTTGACTAAAAAGCTTATGCAACTCTATTTTTCCTTACGCAGTTGGACAATTGAACACCCTCTCTCTTTTTTTGGCTGGGAAGTGTGGGTTTTTTTGGTTGGAAAGGAAGGTAATTAAACAGCCCAGAGGGGGCTGTGTATTTTAACCCAATTGTGGATGTGATTTATTCTGAATCGTTTTGACATCTGTGTTTGCCTGTGTGGGGAATAAATTGTTTTTGTGGGGGTTGTTAAGAAAGGGATGTCAGGATCACAGTTCCCAAGCTGCAGGAAACCTTGCAGTCCAATTTGATTTATTTATTTTCTATCTGTAATGCTGAACTGCAAGGACGTGGTGGCGCTGTGAGCTAAACCGCAGAAGCCTGTGCTGCAGGGTCAGAAGACCTGCAGTTGTAAGTTCGAATCCACGTGTCGGAGTGAGCGCCCGTTGCTTGTCCCAGCTCCTGCCAACATAGTGGTTCGAAAGCATGCAAATGCAAGTAGATAAATAGGGACCACCTCGGTGGGAAGGTAAACAGCGTTCCGTGTCTAAATCACACTGGCCATGTGACCATGGAAGATTGTCTTCGGACAAACGCTGGCTCTATGGCTTGAAGAGTGGGATGAGCGCCGCCCCCTAGAGTCGGACACGACTGGACAAAAAATTGTCAAGGGGAACCTTTACCTATTTAATGCTGAACTAGTGCTATTCCAGTTTGAAAGGAACAAGAGAAAAATGAAAGAAAATATTAAAAATAACACGGGTGGTGGCCATGGCAAGTGGTTGTGAGAGACAGCCTGAACAAGGGCAGGCAGGTGCCACAAACGTATTGCATTTAAGGCTTAATCCTGCACTCACCCACCTCCATGGTGGCCGCCTCTCACAGCCACTCTCTGCTGCTTCCACCAGCAGTATTATTTTAAATATTTTTTATTTCTTTCAAACTGGGATAGCTCTAGTTCAGTATTACAGATGGGAAAAATACCAGAGTAGGCTGCAAAGTTTCCCTCCAGCCTCAAACCCATGATGTAGGCATCCATACTTGACAAACTCCACACATGCCAGTGGGAAGGGCAGGAGGGTTCAGGACAAAGCCTCAAATGCAATGATTGTAAAAGTGTGTGTAGCCACACTGACTGATATACAGCACAGCTTAAAATGGATTAAAAGTTGTCCAAAGAGGACACACTAACCAAAAAATTATGTGACTACCACGTGACTTTTAACTGACTTCAGAAACTCCAGTCTATTATCCAATTTATTTGGATAGTATAACCGCACCCTAAGTAAATGTTAGCAAAGTAAGTATGTTGAACTGAAAAGGAGAAAACAAATAAGAGCATATAAATCATCCATATTGCCCTGGGACTAAATAGAGACATTCTTAGAAAAATGAATATGATTTAAATTGGACAAAGCAAAGCTCCCACTGAGACTTAAAATGGTCATAAATAAGTTTCTCATTGGGACTTAAATTTGTCATAGGAAATTTAAGTCCTAGTGGTCTCAATGGGTCTACTGTAAGCATAAGTGTGGATCTAATACCTGTGAATGAGTTACTATGCCTTTTTGTTTAATCTCTTCCAATTAACCATGCTTACCGTTTTAGTATACAATGAATGAGATGGAAAAGAAACCTATTTGAAGTTTAAGACGTGGCATTCAGAAACATATGCAGAAATCATAACCAAGAAGAAAAGCAAGAACAGGAAGGAGCTTAATGGGGCTAACTCAGTATTAGTTGCCCGCTAGAGCAGATCAATTGGAATACGTGGGCATCCACTTAAGTAATGCCTACTGATTTCAGAAGCTATGTTGGTAATGATATTGGCTTTAGCCAACAATGCGGTCTAAATAGCTCAGAAGTGTAGGTATTTGTCTATGGATTGAGAGGTTGGGAGTTTGATTCCCCACTGTGCCTTCAGGGAGAAGACCCAGCCTGTGTGGCCTGGGCAAGCTGCACAGTCCCAGGGCTGCCCCCAGATGAAGGGAATGGCCATCCACCTCTGAGTATTCTTTACTGGGAAAACTCTGGACAGGGTCACTGTAAGTCAGACAGCACATGATTATTATGATTATTACTAGCCAACAATGTCTTATGGACCAGTGGTCCCCAACCTTGGGCCTCCATATGTTCTTGGACTACAACTTCCAAAATCCTTCACCACCACCTCTGTTGGCCAAGATTTCTGGGAGCTGAAGTCCAAGAACATCTGGAGGCCCAAGGTTGGGGAACCACTGTTATGGACGATATTATATATAGAGAAGTGGGCATTTAACTGAACCATGTTGCTTTGCAGAGAGATTACTAACTCAGAGTTGCCCTACAAAGATTATCTGTCTTTGTTAAAATATGGAAGAAACTAGAAAAATAGAAAACTCTATCTAGATGAAACTTGAGGTTTCAATGCTTGGAATTTCCCTCGCTGAAAAAACAGAAACAGGGCACCACATTTGCTCTCTTGAAGAGGTTTCCTTGGAATAAAATATAATTTTAACAACTCTTAGTAATAACATCTGCTAGTTCATAATTTTTAGAAACTTCTGATTTTTCATTTTAAAAAAATTATTTCTGAATATTTGCCATTCGTTGTTCCTGTAGTTGATGTTTCGAGTTGATTTAAATGGATTAATTTATATTTACTTTGTTGTTATCATTTCATCATGATTTTATGTGCAAACTATTATGTCGAGGCTTAGAAAAATTCCGTCAGTTAATGAATTTATATTTGCCCCGAATTAAATAGTTTTGAGTTCTTTTTGTATGACATTAATAATAATGGCAAATGTGTTTAGAAAAGCCATAGAATGGAGAGTGAAAAAGAAAAGCAGAAGCAAATGCCCCTCTTATCCTGTGATCTAGCCTATAACCAAGCCCCATAAATATTGCTAACGGCTGTTAGCAATAATGGCCAGAATCTTATCAGTTCCACCTGCCTGTAGAATGCAGACAGGGCAAAACTTGATAGTGAACTCCCACGGGTTATTCAGTTAGAGCAAATATTTGCTGTTGTATGTTTGCTGACTTTGTGCAACTGCAAAAGCAAAAACTGCAGGGTTGTCACAATTAAAGAAAGTCCATATTTTCATAAGCTATCTAAGGGTTTAGTTTCTAACTAGAGATGGGGATGAAGTGCCAAAACGGTACTTCACTTTGGTTTGTAGGTCATCATCCTTGATGACCCACGAACCACGAATTTTCCCCTAGTGGCCTGACGAACCACGAATCAGTTCACTAGTTCATTGGGTCTTTTATTTTTTTTAAGACAGCCCCTGGGGCTATATAAAAAAAGCTGAGCCCCTGAGCCCATAGCCTGCCCCTACCTCCTTCCCATCGCTTCCTCCTTACCTTGCCCAGCTTTCTCCTCCCGCTCCACCGCTGCTTCCTCCAAAACAGAAGCTAGACCACAGGAACTGCTTTGGTCAGGCGTCCCCCATCTTTCTGTGCCCAGATGGGCATAGAAAGATGAGGGAAGTTGGACCCAAGCAATCCCAATCTCTGCTGTCTTTACAAAGACAGTTGGGGGGGAACCTTGTGTGGTTCAGACTTCCTCTTTCTATGCCCCCGTGGCATAGATTAGGGAAGCCTGACCGAAGCGACCCCCCCCCACATTGTTTGCAAAGACAATGGGGGAATTTCTTTGGTCAGTCTTCCCTTGTCTATGCTGTGGGGGCACAGAAAGACTGGGGAAACTTGACCGAAGTGATCCCCTCCGTCTTTGTAAATGGGGGGGGTTCCCTTTGGGCAGGCTTTAGCAAGCTGCCCAAAGGGAAAACTCTCTGCTTTTGGGGGGGCATAAACAGAGAGAGATAGAGGAAGGGACGGATATAGAAGGGTTATATTTAGAGATGGGGGTATTCATATTCTTATACAAATATCCCCGCACAGGTGGCGTTAATGAGGGTCCAGCCCCATCGGGCTGGCTGGTCCACTCACTGATCCGTTGCGGATGCGGACAATGCGATTCTACCAATGGCTCCGCAGTGCGCGATCTGCTCGCTACTCTTTGACCTTGCAGCGAGGCTTGCTCTTCCACCACCTGCTAGTAGTAGCAAGCAGATTGTGCGCTGTGGAGCCATTGGTAGAATCGCGCCATCTGCGACCACGCAGGTCAATGACGCATGGGACTGGACCCTCATTAATGCCACCTGTGTGGGGATATTCGTATTCACATACGAATATGAATACCCTCCTTTCTAGTTATATTCATTGCTTTGTATTTGTCAGGGCCTCTGGATCTCAAGAATATGAATCCACTAATATCAGTGATATTCATGGAATATTGCAATTCATTTTTATATTCACCCCCATGTCTATTTGTGAATTTTTGCAGAGTCATATCTCATCCTTCCGTTAAATTTATAAGGGCAATTAGACCGTAGGGTGGCCTATAATTAAGGGGACTTAATAAAATAAAGGGTTTCTAGCAAGAAGGATAAAACTGCAGGAATGACAGTCAATAACTAGATGACCTGAGCATCTGAAAGTTTGGCTTTTCAAAACACCAGCGAAGACTTTCCTTGAAGGTCTTGAATAAGGTTATTTCCCCATCCCCCAGCTTTATAATCAGCCATGTGTTCTTAATAAAACAGTAAGAGTTTGACCACACAGAAAAATACATTGTACAGTGGTGCCCCGCATAGCGATGTTAATTCATTCCGGATTAATCGTCGCTATCCGGAAACATCGCTATACGGATAGGAAAACCCCATAGGAATGCATTAAGCTCCATTTAATGCATTCCTGGGGGGCGAAAACTCACCGTTGAGCGAAGATCCTCCATAGTGTCGCCATTTTCTCCGCCTCGGTAAGTGAGGGCAAGGCGTGAAAATGCTTGTGGTGGCCATTTTGGTTACCCGGTGGCCATTTTGGAACCGCCGATCAGCTGTTCTAAAAACATCGCAATGCGAAGATCGGTAAGCGAAACGCTTACTGATCATCGCAATGCAATGTTTGCCCTATCTAAACATCGCAATGCGATCGCATTAGCGATCGCAAAAACCAGATCGCTATGCGGATTCGTCGTTAAACGGAGATAGATAGATAGATAGATAGATAGATAGATCACCAGGTGTACACTGGTCTGATGTGATCTGTTTCCCAGTTCATTGGGATCCTGATCCGTGCCCAAGATGGATCCTTTTTGGCTTAACGGCTTTTATTTTGGGGGGTGGGGTGGGGGCTAGACTGGAGTGATTCCCTGGCACATGAAAGGTTCACTTCAAGGGACATTGCTCCCATTAAAGTGGCTGTTTCTGATGCAAACAGGCACACACCTTAAGCTGTGTGATAGCACCCCTAAGATGTGGCATAACATTGTGCACAGGCTTTCATGCTTCCTATATTCCTGCTTCAGGCAAGTTGTTGCAAAAGGCAGGAGTGGGAGAGATGGCTAAAGAAAGGGAAGCAACAAAGACAAAAGCAAACAAATAAAAAAACCTGCCCAAATAGTTGTGGTAGAGGAGGAGAAATGGCAGATGTTGAGATGGGGGGTGAGTGTAAAATAACACACCTTAGCACGTCTTTCAGCTGCTTCTCTGCATTTATGAGCAGAAGAAAAACAAAACACTGAAACCCTATAAAAGAATTAAGTGCGGGTGCGCCTTTTAGCTGCTTCCTCTAATTCAGCAAAGATGATACTGGAACAAACTCTGAATTCATTCCCCTTAAGTATATATAAAAAAGAACAGAAATCCCACAGGGAAGAAAGTGAACTCTCAGTAATTCAGATACATGAGTACAGACTTGTCAACATGCAGTATTACTGTTCTTCCATGTTCACATTAAACAAAAATAGATAGATAGATAGATAGATAGATAGATAGATAGATAGATAGATAGAGAGAGAGAGAGAGAGAGAGAGAGAGAGAGAATTAAAATTGCTATACTAGTTGATTAGTTAAGAATGCTATTCCGGGTGGTGTACACAATAAGTAACAGCACCTTGTCTTACCCACTCTCATGTCCAAAATGAAACTCCATATTATTTCAAAGCAATAAAAATGTGTGTAGTCGATTACAAAGTACCGCATTTTTCCATGTATCAGATGCCCCCATGTATAAGACGCCCACCACTTTTCTAACCCAAAAGTAAGAAATCTAAATGGGGCTTAGCAAGTGGAGGGGAAAGCAGGGATCAAAGCCCTGCAGGATAACTTTGATCCCTGCTTTCCCCTCCACTTATTTTTGTTCTTTCCTCAGCTTACTTCCATGTATAAGATGACCCTCAATTTTTAGTCTAAAGATTTTAGACAAAAGTATAGTCTTATACATGGAAAATTACAGTAATTGTATTCTCGAAGTCTTTCACAGCTGGGATCTGATGGTTGTTGTAGGGTTTTTGGGCTCTTTGGCCCAGAACCCACAACAACCGAACAGAGTAATTGTTGGCCCTTTGTTCTTGAGAGTGAGGTGTAAAAGATCACAAGCCATGCTGCAATGATGCTTGAGAATGCAACCTCAAGAGGACTGGATCCATCAAATTTTAGACCCTTGCTAAAATGGGTTGGGTTTTTTTTTGCACTATCCATTAAGGGGCTGTGCTGAGCCTGATGAAATGGGCTGAGCGCCACAAAAACCTGTGATTTGTATGATTTTATAGTAGTCCAATAAAAGCTATTACCCACCCTTACCTTTCCATGAAATGAGGAGTCCAAAGAACAGAGCAAAGTAAATATTTGTACTGAAATTTTCTTTATGGAAATGGCTGAGAATCAAGCAACACAATTATGACCACCGTTGTTTCTGCCACATCAGCAGGCACGTGTAGTTTACACAAGGCAGAATGAAGTAAATATGTTTTTGCCTTTTAAAAGCCATCTAAAAAGGAGGTGTTCATCCTGGAGCAATAGAGAACACACACTCACACTCACACTCACACTCACAGAGAGAGAGAGAGAGGTTATGCAAAATCCAAAAACAAGGACGAGTGCTATGCCATGAAAATCTCAAAGACAGGGGAACTTTTGAGTCCTGCAGGAGTTTCCAACAGGCTGGGCAGAAATGGGGTGGTGGTGGAGGTGAAAGGAAATGCCCGGAACCGAAACATTTATCTTGGCCAGAGGCTGAGCCCAGGAGCACCAGTTTAAAATCAGTTCCAAAATGGAACCACAATTGATGTAAACCAATTTCACTATGGAACTTCACTTTTTGGCGGTTTCTACCTGGTTGCACAATTTTCTTTACAAAGGAAAAGCAAAGAGTCCTTTGTAAACCTGGACTGTGTCACTGCAAGAGTTTTGATCTATCCAGGAGCAAACCAGGGTTACTAAAACAAAGCCAAGTTGCACACAGAAAAACACTAGACAGTCTCAAAGACACACACAGCAGCAATTGCAATGGCTGGCTGTTGTAATTCAGCTGAGACGCCAACTAAAGTCAAGACTCTTGTCTTGAAGGTTGCAAGACCAACCGCCATTGGGATCAGAGGCGGGAAGATTTGTGTTTCTGGACTACATCTCCCAGAATTCCACAGGCAGTTTAGTTTTGGGGGATTTCTATGAACTGCCATCGAAAACCCCAAATCTAAAGACCTCTAATTTAGATCCTCTTAGTGTCACTGCCATCTCTTCTGTGCAGGATATCATTTATGACAGAGGGTTGGGGGCCAAGGAATGGTCAGGGAATTGACACTGAGATGCTCAGTGGACGGAGGCAGAGATCATAGCAGAGGCCCATAGCTTGGTGACATAAATCGGCTTGAATCTACACAATCAGTTGTAAACTGCCCATGTATGCAATGTGAATATGGCCTTTCTACTCCTCCTTGGCCACAGCTGGTTAGGAACTGGCATGGTGGAGGGCTGCACATTCCTTGTATTGATAATTGATAATACAGTAATGTTTCTGTTTTCTAGGATTGTTCCCGTGGCGCTGTCTGTTCAGATCCCACCATGAATGTCCTGCAGATGTGCTCAGCGATCTGCTCTTTTGTCAGCCTCCTCCTGCTCCTCATTTCCCTTGGCTCAGACTACTGGGTGGTAAATGGCACTGTGCATGCGGGTCTGTGGAACTTTTGCGTCTCAAGTGTGTGCAGTCCATTTGGAATGGACGTGGCAGGTAAGATTATATGCATTTTTGCAGTGGAAAAATAGCCATTTTGACAACAGCTTCACGACTTAGATCTGCAAGACTTGTAGGGCAGTTTATGGTTCTTCCATCCATGAAGAGTCAACTGTGATGGGGAATAACTATTCCTGTTGCACACAGTTTTAAAGTTTTACCTTCAAGGGAGGCTTCAAAGCATCAAAGTATCTGCTAAGGCAGTGGTCCCCAACCTTGGGCCTCCAGATGTTCTTGGCCTACAACTCCCAGAAGCCTTCACCACCACCTCTGCTGGCCAGGATTTCTGGGAGTTGAAGTCCAAGAACATCTGGAGGCCCAAGGTTGGGGACCACTGCGCTAAGGTACAGGTGGTAGATCCCACCTATCAATGCATGGGAACTGAGCATGCAATCAGGTGGGGAAATAGCTCGCATTTCGGACTGCTTGTAGCACAGTCTGGTGCAGGCTCTTCTCCTGCAATCACAGGAGACTAGCAAACACTGGCAAACAAACACTAGCAACATTTCAGATGACTCCTCCAAGTCTTCTTGAGTGAAAAAGGCTGGCTTCTAGACTAGCTCTGGAGGTGAAATAACTTCTCAACCTCTTTTTCCCTGTGGGCCTGTCACCAGTAGGCTCACCCCCCCCACCAAACAAGACATATTGACACACAACTGGAATAAAAAAGGCCACAGCTTTATTGATAACAACATGCCGTTCCCCTGGCTTGAGCACTGCAGTTGGATCCAGTCCGATCAGGGGACTCAAATGGCCCCTGATGTATCCCATATCTTCCCAGTTCCTGCTGGGTGATAAAACAGGAATGGCATCGATTTTATTTTATTTTATTTATTAGATTTTTATCCCACCCTTCCAGACAATGTCTACTCAGGATGGTTCCACTTATCAAGTGGAGACCTGTAGGCAATGTCTACTCAGGGCGGCTCCACTTATCAAGTGGAGACCTGTAGGCAATAGACCACTCAGTGTCTCCTTGTCACCGAGGGTTAAGGCTATGTTTGCATCTCCATCCTTTCAGGTCCGCCTCTAGCTGCTGGCCCCACCCACTGCCCATGCTGACCAATCAGGGTGCGCTTGTCGCCATTTTGAGATTAGCTGGGGAGTGGAGAAGCCCAGCCACCACTTCCTCCACAATGGGTCCCTCCTGTAATTCTTGGGCCAACTTCCTCCTTGAGACTGGATGCTGTTGGGTCTATCTTGACTTCGGATGCTTTGGGACGAAGATAGACAATCCAAGTTGTCCAGCCTCCTTTTGGATTATGTTGAACATGGAAGTTGCTTCTGAATACTTGCAGAACAATGCTAGCATTTGGTCTAGGATGCAGGCTTGGGATGTACGGAAAGTTCCTGTCTAACGCCACTCATGTATTTAACCCTCTTTTTCCTTTCTCTCCCCCTCCCTTTCTTGGTATCTCCGCAGCTGGGGACCACGCCACTCGAGCATTTATGCTGCTAGGGATGATCGCTGGCGCTGTCTCTTTCTTTGGTATTTGCGCCTCATTCTTTAAATCTCAAGTCGGCTCCATGTCCCTGATCAAGACTTCAGCTGACGTCAGTATTGTTGCAGGTATAATGGAGAGATGTGTCTTCCGGTTTCACAGTCGCTTTCACCTCCTCGGTTCCAGTAACGCCATGCCACAATCAGTGTTTCGAAACTGGCAAACTCTGTGCTGGAGCACTCTGCACTTTGGCCTCTAGAGCTGCTGCAGAGGCCGTCATATAAAAGACCATACCGCATGGGGGCCAGGGAGGCATCTTTCTGCTTCCATATCATGCCCCCAATAGAAATCTAGTTTTAGAAGAGGCAGCCGTGTCAGTCTGCAGGGGCATATCAGGCACAACCCAAAGGAAAGCAAAATAATGAAAAAGAAAAAAGGCCAAACATTTGTGACTCTTTCAGGACAAACTGTTATATTTTTCTATGAGCTTCAGCACATTTGGTGGTGAAGGCTCCTGGAGTTGCAGTCCAAAACTCCTGAGTAACCCAAGGTTAAGAACCAGTGATATAAAAGACCAAACCTTTGTGACTCTTTGAGAACAAACTATTTTATTTTAATGTGAGCTTTTGTGGACAAATCCCTTTCTTCAGACATAGGAGGAAAAACAGTACACGTTACACAGTAAAACATTGCTCCTCTGCCGCCTCCTTCAATTGTGTTACTGTGTCCAGTTGGTCTTTAAAAACAAAAACAAAAAAACCCTTCCCTCATTTTTTTGCTCTTGCCTTGTTTTCTGTTTTCTGTCTTATTTGTAGGAATGTTTACAAAAGCAGACTTTGGAAGAACCGAACACCAAACATAGGTCATCATAGATTACTGCATGTGTGAAAAGCAACTACAGTGGTGCCTCGCTTAGCGACGTTAATCCATTCCAGGGAAAATGTCACTAAGGGATTTTGTCGCTAAGGGAAATAAAAAAGCCCATAGAAACGCATTAAAATGTGTTTAATGCGTTCCTATGGGCTTGAAAACTGACCTTATGTGAAGATCCTCCATTGCGGTGGCCATTTTGGGTCCCTCTAAAATGAGGCAACACAGCGAGTGGCCATTTTGTTTACCCGGCGGCCATTTTGGAACCGCTGATCAGCTGGCCGAAAACGGGGGCTTTGCGATGGTCGCTTCTGCGCGATAATCGCAAAGTGAAATTCCCCCATAGGAAACATCGGAAAGTGATCGCTTTTGCGATCACAAAAACAGCGTCGCAAAGTGATTTCGTTGCTCAACGGAGCGATTGGTAAGCGAGGCACCACTGTATGCAACGCTGTCTCACAAGTCACTAAATCTTTCTCAACTCCACCTGTTTCCCCTCTGAAAACAACCTTTAAATATGTTTAACATGCAAACCGGTGCCACTTCTGAATTTGGACTGCTTTATTCCCTGATGTTTTATTGTTCAGTTTGGTTTTCATCTCGTTTTTAATCTCAGTTATTCTAGCCAAATGTTGCGGTAGGGAAGGATGGGAATGTTCAAACAGAGAGTACATCTATTTACGAATTCTTTTTATTTCCTAGCTATTTGTGCCATGATCGCCATGTCCGTCTTCACAGGATTATCATCTGGTTCACGTGGTTTTTATGGATGGTCTTTTGGCTTGGGATGGGCCTCATTTCCTCTCTTCCTGATAACAGGTATATATGTGCAGAAGCAGGATGCTGAATTGTACCCTTTATTTAAACATTTGGCATTCACATTTACCGTATTTCTCAGTGTATAAGACTATACTTTTGTCTAAAATCTGTAGAATAAAAATTGAGGGTCGTCTTATACACAGAAGTAAGCTGAGAACAGAACAAAAACAAGTGGAAGGGAAAGCAGGATCAAAGTGATCCTGCAGCGCTTTGATCCCTTTCCCCCTACACTTGCTAAGTCCCACTTAGATTTCTTACTTTTGGGTTAGAAAAGTGGGGGGCATCTTATTCATGGGGGCATCTTATACATGGAAAAATGCAGTAATTGCTAGGTGCACTATTTAAAATATTGCTGTATGTATGTATGTATGTATGTATGTATGTATGTATGTATGTATGTATGTATGTATGTATGTATGTAGGTATGTAGGTATGTAGGTATGTAGGTATGTAGGTATGTAGGTATGTAGGTATGTAGGTATGTAGGTATGTAGGTATGTAGGTATGTAGGTATGTAGGTATGTAGGTATGTAGGTATGTAGGTATGTAGGTATGTAGGTATAGGTAGGCAGGTAGGCAGGTAGGCAGGTAGGCAGGCAGGCAGGCAGGCAGGCAAGCAGGCAGGCAGGCAGGCAGGCAGACATAGTTCTTGGTTGGTTTCTGTCTATTTTTAAAATTCTTTATTTGATTTATTTGATTTTCATACTGCCCCTTAGGGTAAGCACTACTCTGGTCAGTTTACAGGTTAAATCTTAAGCCCCATAAGACCTCGCATAGCAATGTATGTTCAAACAAAATGACAACCCACAACTATAAAATCTAAAATTCATACAAAAAGGACAGAGGGAAAAAAATTAGAGTATCCCAAAAATTCAGTTGCCAAAGGCAGCTTTGAATAATTCCATTTTCACCAATTTCCTGTCATCACCTTTTGGACCTCCCTCGGTGTGGCTGCTTTTAGCAACATGGATTAAGAGAAGCCGGTGACATAGGTAGCTGATTTCTAGGAGAGATATTCCAACAAGGGTCAAGGTCTCAAACTATTGAGAGCTTTATCAGTCATTAATAGCACCTTGAATTGACCATAGAAATTGGCAGGGAGCCAATGAAGGAACATTAAGGCTAAGATTTTGGAGAGTTTTAATCCAAGAACATCTGGAGATTCAAGGTTGGGAACCACTGTTTTAAACGCACCAGCCATGTGGTTCTGCAGTCACATGTCCTGGACATTGAGGAAGTTATCGTCATAGAGTAATAAAGATTACTGGCCTAATGGATCCTTTTTCTCTCCTGAAAGGTGTGCTGGCTTACCTATCACGAACTCTATCGCCAGAATGATTGTAATGGAAAGGTGCTGAGGCCTTTTGAGATGACACCCCAAGCTCTTCTATTGGAACGGTGGACGCATGGAGAGAAGCCACAGTAGAACTGAACTCTATTTGGAAGAGACTGTATCTCCAAGAGGCTCCTGATTACGAAGGCAGCAATTTAGAATTTGGAACCACAGAGGTTGATAGCCACAATTTTACAGAAGTGAATCTGCTCCTGGTTTTCCTTTTTTCTTCTTCTTGACCCTGTACATGTGTACAGGAATGGTGTGGTGGATACACTCCCTGCAATTGGTTCAGCACCTTGGAAAGCTCCTTTAAAGTTTTTAGTAAAACCAGGAATGGATTCCCTTCTCCTGCATCTTTGGGCTCACCAGCCTGCTTCTGGTCCCAGACAGACCTGTTGTTCAGTCAATGAAGCTACTCTTCTCTCCCCCCCCCCATTTTTCCTTTGAGTGAGTTCTTCTGAGAATCAAACTGCTCCCTGGTAAATGAATTTATTTCTTTGCTCCCTTTTTCTTGTTCTTCTTCTTCTTAACCAAGTGTGCATTCTAAGAAACGCCTCAAAAGCCACCATCCACCCATTTTCTGTTGTATCAGAGCCTTGTACCAATGACTGGGCAAAGGTCTTTGCGCTGTACCAGAACAGCTGCTTGAGAGCCATTATTTTAAGTGCAGGGTCCATCATGACAGCTGATCACCTTGATCCTTTTCATAATGGTTTTATCTAACATTTTTAATATCATGTTATTGATTGTTCTTTCGTACTGAATAATTTACTGTGTTTAGCTTTTCATATTGCGCTTTTAATTATGTAAGCCACCTTGAGTCCTTTTTCTAAGGAGAAAGGCAGGATAAATGTATTATAAATAAAAAATAAAACATGAAAAAAATGTCATTATCATCGTCGTCTTCATTAGCTCTGAGGGTTGCCAAGTTGAGAGCCCCAAAAAGAGTCCAAAGATCTGTTCATACCTAGTAGCAAATCTGTTCCAACAATCTATGTTCCTACCAGGAGCACGTAGAGTGTGCTTGCTTTGTTTTCGTTTCTTGGCACAGCCGGTGGTTCTGAATTGCCTTCTTAGAATGAGGCTCTGCCCTGCATACCTTGGATTGCAAGAAGGACTTTTCAGAAACAGGCGTCATTGCTGGGCAAATCCAAATCCACTCGCCCGCAGCCATTATTGTGATTGCAACCATGTTAACAGGGGTGTTTTGTGGGTGAGAGATGATGTCGATGTCTCTGGTACTCCTTGGTACACTCAGAGGTCCAGAAAAGGGACTCTGCAAAGTTTCCACTCTAATATTCTTTTTATGTGCTGTCAAGTCTCCTCCAACATATGGTGAGTCTATGAATGAGAAGTCTTACAAACTCAAGTTTGTGGCTTCCTTTAGCGAGTCGGTCCATCTTGTATTTGGTCATCCTCTTTTCTTGTTGTCTTCCACCTTTACCAACATTATTATCTTTTGTGGATAATCCTGCCTTCTCAAGATGTGCCCAAAGTAGGAGAGCCTCAGTTTCGACTTTTTTGCTTCAAGAGATAGTACAGGCTTGATTTGATCTAGGACTTGTTCATCTTCCTGGCAGTCCAGAGTATCTGCAAAGCACTCCTCCAGGACCACAAGTCAAAATTCCTTAAATCTCTAGTTTTCACACTCATACATCAGAAATATAAGAATGTGGATGATCTTGATCTCAGTCTCTAGTGAGCACTTTAAGAGGACACATGCACAATTCGTGCACATGTAAATTTACTTTGAGGGTACATTCAGTCTGAGTAAAGCTACTGCCAGATCGACTGACTGGCTGTCCTTCTAGGTCAGTGATGGGGAATACCATATTCCCCCCATGTATAAGATGAACCCCAATTTTCTAACCCAAGGATCAGGAATCAATATTTTGGACATTAGAAAGGAACACATTTTTATTCAGTAATTAGGCAACATTTAAATACCAGTACTATGATAGTGTGCATCACACTTAGCTGGGCAAATAACTTCATTCATCTTTATTTGCATAACTGATTACATTCAGTTTTTATTTTGGAGAGTAAGACATTCACTTATTTATTTTTTCTGACATTTTTATGGGCTCAGATTGCTCCGACATTACCGGTCACTGTTGCATCCACGCACTGCCTACAAGCTCTTCTCTGCATCAGCTGACATCCATTACATAAGGCTCATGATTGGAGGAAGCCTGTTTGCAGAGGCAAGCTATCAGAAGTTTTACTCGTGACTAGAGGCAGGCTGGTTTGCCGAGACATGGGTAGTTTTGCATCCACTTAATTTTCTCCTGGGAACACTGAACAACAAAGCCTGGATCCCAGCACTGAAAAATATAGCCTGCAAAAAGGTCAATGAACTCTACTCAGCCACAAAAGACTAGCTAACGACACCCATCAATCACAGCGACAGGTCATCTCCCCACTTATCACAATAAACATCCATAATAAAAAACACCCTGTTTACAAGAATCACCCAATCTCCTGAAAAGAACAAAATGTGATCCCACAGTTACAGATACTCAACAATCACACACACTACACCAGAACACAGACAGAGTTCTAGCTCCTGTCCTCTGAAGATGCCGGCCACACAGATTTGCGAAAAACCTCCAGAACACAGCCAAACAGCCTAAAAAAACTACAACAACCATCAGATCCTGGCTGTGAAAGGTTTTAACACATTTTCAGAATTTGCTGAAAGGACCACAGTGAAGGAGCCAGGCGAATCTCAGTTGGGAGTTTATCCCCAAGGTGTGGTGGAACTGCCGAAAAGGTCCATGTCCTGGTCTTCTCTCAGGATCAATGTCTTCAACTGTCCAGGTTGGGACAAATGAACAGGTTGGGCAGATCTCACTGGACAAAGGTGTTCTGCCAGGTATCGAGGTCCCAAACCATTTAGGGCTGTGTATGTTGACATCATCACCTTGAAGCTGGCATGGAAACAAACAGGTAGCCAATACAAGGCAGCTAAGATGGAGGAGATGTGATGGTGTTTATTTACTTTCCAGAACAAACTGGCTGCTATGTTTTGGACGTGCTGAAGTTTCCACGGGCAGCCCCATGTAGAGAGTATTGCAACAGTTTAATCTCAAGACTGCCAACGCATGGAGCAGCATGGTGAGGAACCCAATGTCAAGGTTGGGATTCAGCTGTGCAATCCGACACATATGGAAATAGGCAGAGCGGACCACTGATGCCACCTGGGTGTCCCAGATCCAGATGGACCCCCAAGCTCTGAACCTCACTCTTCACAGTGAGAGTCACTGCCCCAAAAGAGAGGGAGTTTTCCAAACCACCAATGGATGGGCCACCCACCCTCAGGACCTCCGTCTTGTCCGGGTTCAGCCTCAGTCCATTCTCCTGCATCCATCGCGATACAGCCTCCAGGCAGCGCTGAAGGGATGGAACAGCATCCACTGTGGTTGGAGAAAAGGAGATGCAGAGCTGGGTGTCATCAGCGTACTGATGGCATGAAGCCCCACACAACCTGATGACCCCACCCTGTGGCCTCATGTAGATATTAAACAGCATTGGGGCAAGGAAAATAGTTGCAGTACCAAAGAAGCTGACTGCAACAGTTGCCAAAAGATTATGAAAAAAAGCTGCAAAGGAACTGTAAAAGAAGCTGCAGCAAACAAAAATAAACTGCAGTGTGACCGCAAAAAAAAAAGCAGAGAATAAATGTACCAAAACAAAGAGCACAACAGGCAAGATAAGCAGATTAACTAAGAGGAGAAAAACAGAGAACAAAACATAAAAAAACAATCAAACAAAAAGAACAGAAAACAAACCATGCTGGAGGAAAAACGCAGACCTCCGATAACTGGTTGCAGATATCCAGGCCATATGTCATTTTAAAAAACAAAAACAAATAAAAATTGTTTATTGCTACAGGTGTTGACAGAACAAGCAATGTTGTTAACTCTTAAACAAACATTCTTCTTTATCCATCCTCTAACACTATTCCCCTGCCCAAACTCCAAAACTCTCTCAACTCTCTCACACTTTAACTCTCCATCTCAAAATGTTATTTCTGTCTATCTTAATTCTCTTCCTATATATCGATATTATTATTCATATTTATTTATTTATTTATTTATTTATTTATTTATTTATTTATTCATTTATTTATTTATTTATTTATTGCATTTATATGCCGCCCATCCATTTTGGAACCACCGATCAGCTGTTCGTCGTTAAACGGGGCACTCACTATGCAGGGCACCACTGTATTAAACATTGTTGATATAACCAACTAGTGGCAGCTGAAAGACACATAGCATGAGCTCTTAATTTGGTGAAACAAGCAGGGGCCACATGGAGATCATGACACACAGCACAATGTGATGCCTTTGCATGATGGAATGGATATATCTGGCTGTTTTTTGAGTAAGTTCCTTATTAGTACCACTTGGCAGGTGCAAGATTTTATCTGGGTCACCTCAGCCAGAGTGGGAGAAAAGGAAGGCTCTCAAGTATTGCGGGCGGATATCCTGAAACCACATACAGTAAAAGAACATGTGGTGCAATGATTCAACTGCTCCCTTGCCACAATGGCACACTCTTTCATTTTAAGGTTCTTTCTCACACTGTGGATAGTTCCTCCGTTGCTCGTAGCTTCCTGCAGGTTCCGAGAAACTACCAGTTCATTGGTCCTCGGAGGATATATTACTTCTGCATCTCATTTCCAAAGCCCCAGGGCATTTTTGTTGTTGGATGTGAAGGTAGGAGAGCCAAAAAATTTTGGCTCAAGTTGCTTGGCTTTTGTTGCATTGTCTTCTTTTCAGCGAAGGGAAGTTAAGCAACACCACACTTGTTTTGTAATTACTATTTCTAAGTTCTGTCTTAAGGTCTTGCTTGTGTTTTCAATGCATTTTGCAACACTGGGTTTCCAAGTACTAGGTGGCATTTAGCTTTCAAAAAAAGAAAGACTGAAGTGGGAGGCTCCAAGAAGAGCCAGTAGTAGCACCAGGGAACTTCTGCTGTTGGATGTGAAGGTAGGATAATAATTTTTGGCTTCAGTAAGTTGGCTTTCCCCCCTTTGACTTCAATGCATTTTTGCAACACTGCATTTTCTAGTGCTGATATTGAATTATTTGGACTAACTTTGTGCTTAGCAGGGTGGCTGTGTCCCTGGACTGGAGGAGGTTTAGACCTTCTACAACAGAGCCCTTCCATCACCTTGCTCTTTTTTCACTCTTCTGCAATGCACAGATGCATTGTTCCAATCCGTCTTGACAGATACAGACATAAATGTGTTTGGTCTTCTCATCTACTCAATCAAGGTAGGGTGGCCATTTGAAGAGGAGGACAGAGCTTCTGTATTGCGTGGCAGGGCCTAGTATGGGCTAGTAAATGGGTTTTCCCCTGTGCCTTCCACAACATGACTAAGACAGGACACCTTGCTAAGGTACTGGCCTCAGATGCTAGCTTGGTTAGAGAAGAGAGGGAAGCTCAAGGTGCCGATGGAGGAAGACTTCGTACCCATAGGGTACCAATGGTAGGTGTTCTGGGAGGAGGGTTGCCCACTGATAGAGAAAGGATGACCTGTGGGAAAGCACTAGAGATAAGGGACCCCTGTCTCCAAAGACATTCACTAGAGATGTGCAGCACGAGGGCAGGGTGGAGAACAGGATGTGGATGGCAAAAAAGGGAGGAAGCAGAAGAGCAGGAGCTGGGCAAGGACCTAGCGAGCAAGTCTGAGAAGGAGGAAGAGAACAAAGCACATGTTCTACATTGGTTGGCCATAACTGCTCAACATGGAGGTTTTCTGTGCACTAGTGGTCTGGCCTTGACCGTCCAACCTTGCCACTCTAGGCCTCTGAGCTCCTGAGGTCAGGGACAGATGTATTTTGAAAGTAAAGGTAAAGGTAAAGGTTCCCCTTGACAGTTTTTGTCCAGTCGTGCTCATCTCCGTTTCCAACCCATAGAGCCAGCGTTTTTGTCCGAAGACAATCTTCCATGGTCACATGCCCAGTGCGACTTAGACACAGAACACTGTTACCTTCCCACCGAGGTGGTCCCTATTTATCTACTCGCATTTGCATGCTTTCAAACCACTAGGTTGGCAGGAGCTGGGACAAGCGACAGGCGCTCACTCCGTCGCATGGATTCGATCTTACGACCGCTTGGTCTTCTGACCCTGCAGCACAGGCTTCTGCGGTTTAGCCCGCAGGTCTCCTAATCCCAGAAGAGTTCCAGAAGTGGCTTTAGCGATCTGTTGTGGAACAACCTCACTGAAGAAGATATTATTCATTACCAAGACCTCATTGCTGGGTACAAAGGGCCCCCCATAACAGTTCAAGCATCAGGGGTCCAAAAATGTACGTCAGCCACTGCCTGAGGATGTAGCAGCAGGACCTCCAGATGTAGAAATGCTGCTGGAGGCAGGAGAGACATCTGGTACAGCCCCGGATCATCACTGGAGACCCTGGCAGGGCAGGAGAAAATACACAACCATGCATTTGGGGGTACTGTGGGTGGAGGGTGGAGGAGCCTAAGGACTTGATAGTGGCTGGGGTTGCGTGTGAGGAAAGGATGGGTCTCATGGGTAAGCCCCACACCTTTTCTGGTATCCTGGAAGAATGAGAATAAAGGGTAGTTATCTGTTTGATCTTCCATGCATGTGTGTGTGTGTGAACTTCATGTCAATCTCCCAAGGGTCCCTTGACACCCGTTTACGTATGGAGGACCGCAATCACATGGATAAAGGTGCAGCTCACTGTGAGAAATAGAAAACCCTTTCCTCCATAGATTTTCTGATCTCCAGAGAAAGAGGCAAAAATAGGAGGGAAGATGAGTAAAATGTCCCCCATAGATTCCTCGGGTGTTGGGAGGGGGGGGCTGGGGAGTGGATTTTTTTGGTTCAGAAAGCAAGGGATTTAAACAGCTGTTTAGAGGCGGCTGTGCATTTTGAGGTGATTGTGGATGCAATTTTTTTGCGTTGTTTTTTTAATCACCTGTGTTGGAGTAAATTGTGTCTGTGGAGTCTGTCAAGTAATGGGTTCTAGGGTCATAGGTAGAGATGGGGGTATTCATATTCGTATACAAATATCCCCCCACAGGGTGCAGATAACAAGGGTCTGCTCCCCTGGGGCCAGACCATCCACTCACAATTCCGTCCCTGCTGTGAGCTCCTCGCACCGTTCCTATCACTCCGGAGCTCACGATGGATTAGCCACTCCTGGCAGAAGGCAGGATGATGAGCCTCTCTGCCAGGTCAAAGAGTGGCTCGCTGATCGTGATAGGAAAGCACCATGGAGCTTGCAGCAGCAGAGTCATGAGTGGTCAGTCTGGCCCCAGGAGGCTGGACCCTCGTTATCGCCACCTGTGCAAGGGTATTCATATATTAATACCCCCCATCTCTAGCCATAGGTTTTGGGCAGCGAGAAACCTTTGCAGTCTGATCTGTCACATTAAATGTAATAATGAACTAGTGCTATCCCAGACTGAAAGAAAGGAAAGAAATTGTCACCCTGTCAGGACCTTTATTGGCAATCAAAAACAAAAATTGGAAATACAAACAAATGTAACAAACTATTAATTTACTGAATCTACATATTTGTTGTGTCCGAGACTGTGGCTCAGTCTGTAGTTCCACTGGAATAAATGGGCAGCCACTTACATAACTCCCAGTGATTTCAGGAGGTATGTTGGGAACCATATCGGTTTCAGCCAAGAGTGCTGGCTGAATAGCTCAGTGTTTTAGGTACCTGGGTTGGGAGCTTGAATCCCACTTTGCCTCCGGAGACAAGAGCCAGTTTGTGTGGCCGTGCACAGTCCAAGAGGACCTCTGGAAGAAGGAAATGCTAGGGCAGGCCACTTCCATGTATTCCTTTCCTGGATGACCTTGGACAGTGTTACCATAAGTCGAACAGCACATGATATTATGATCATTACTAGCCAACAATGTCGTATGAAGGATATTAAATATAGAGAATGGGGCATGTAACAAGAGTGTTGACCTGCAGAGAGATTAATTAGTCAGAGTTCCCTTTTAGAGATTATTTCTCTTTGTTAAAACATGAAGGAAACTAAGAGAACAGGAAATGCTGTCTAGCTGCGGCTTTTGATTTTAGGGCTTTCCTTTTCCTCCGCAGAAATCAAGTAGAAATGTGCAATCCATTCTTCACATTTGCACTCTTAAATATGTATCCTTGGAATACAATACCATTTTAACAACTCTTAATAACAATATCTACTAGTTCATTTTTCTTAACATCTAATTTTTCTTTTTTTAAAAAAATTCTTTCTGAATACTTTCCATTTTTTTGTAGTTGACGTTCTGAATTGATTCAAATGGGTTTATTTATACTTACATTGTTGTTATCGCTTTGTTGTGATTTTATGTGCAAACTGCTCAGCGTAGTGGTTCACTCCGTCCGGTGGTAGACAAATGCAATTAATTAATTAATTGTTAACTAATATTTCCCCCCTGCTTCTGAGTTCTTTTGGATAACATTGATAATCATTACAAAACTGTTTATTTATAGTATTGATAATTGATAATAGAGTCACTTGAATGTCTCTGTTTCCTAGATCTGTTCCTGTGGCGCTGTCTGGTCAGATCCCACCATGAATGTCCTGCAGATCTGCTCAGTGATCTGCTCTTTTGTCAGCCTTCTGCTGTTCCTTATATCCCTTTGCTCAAACTACTGGGTGGTAAATAGTACTGTGCATGCGGGTCTTTGGAGGTATTGTGTCTTGAATGCTTGTTCTTTATTTGGGATGAAGCTGGGAGGTAAGAATGTACATGCCTTTGCACTGGAAAAGTAGCCATTTGGTATGTTCCTCATTTCTTAGACCTGCAAAACTTATGGGGCAGTTTATGGTCCTTCAGTCCATTAATAGTCAACTGTAACTGGGAATAACTTTATTCCTGTTGCACACACCAGTCAGTTTCAAAGGTTTTACCTTCAAGGGAGACTTCAAAGCATCAAAGTATCTGCTATGGGACAGGTGGTGGATCCCACCTATCACTGCAAGGGAACTGATGATGCAATCAGGTGGGGAAATAACTCACATTTTGGGCTGCTTGTAGCACGGTCTGGTGCAAGCTCTTCTCCTGCAATCACATCATGCACAGAACCAGCCGGACCTGCTCTGTGCCCAAGTTGGACCTCTTTGGTCCAGCAGGAGGGCTTCTGAGTTTTGGAACTGGGCTGCTGCACTTCCTGCATGGACAGAAAGAGTAGGTGTGAGGGAGATCAGCATGATCAGATGCAATGCTTTTGGATCCCACCTTAGGTGTATAGCTTAAGACATTACAGGGCATGTCTGCAGGGTTGGAGGCAAGATATTTTTCACAGAAATATGAATGGTCACATCTGACCAGGAGTGGGTGTGAAATCTAAAACATCTGGAGAGGCCCAGTTTGGGAAAGGCTAGGTGGATATTCTGTATTAGATTGTAGGCTCCAAATGTACCAGGAAAGCTCATCTCAAACTTAGAATTATTCATGCCTATCCGTGACAACACAGGAGCCAACCTTGAAGCTGGACTTCAGCAAAGTATACTGTATATATTGCCTTTATCCCTATAGAGAACCCCATGTGACTCGGGGTAGATAAAACAATAGATTTAAAAAAACGCGTGCCTCGTTTAACGCCAAATCCGCATAGCGATGAAGAATTTACAATCACTTTTGCGATCGCATAACGATGTTTCCTTTGGGGGGAAATCGCTTTGCGATGATCGGTACACTGTTTCGCTTACCGATCATTGTATAGTGATGATTTTTCCTCAGCTGATTGGCGGTTCCAAAATGGCCACCATGGATTCCTCGCTTACCGGGCAGTGAAAATGGCCGCCGTATGGAGGATTTTCGCTTAAAACATAAGTTTTAAGCCCATAGGAATGGACTAAAGGGGTTTCAATGCATTCCTATGGGCTTTTTAATTTCGCATAGCGACGAAATAACTTTGCAGCAATTTTTGCTGCACAGATTATCGTCGCTATGTGGGGCACCACTGTACAGTATAAGTATCACATTTAAAAACCATTAAAGAAATATTAAGACTGACATTTTTTCTTTTAAGCACTAGCAACTTTTCCAATGTTGGATGAAATGATTCTTCCCAGTTCGGCTTCTAGACTAGCTCTGGAGGTGAAATCAATGCTTTTCTGCCTCTGTTTCCTTTTGTCTGAGGCTGGATGCTGTTGGGTCTATCTTGACTTCGGATGCTTTGGGATGAAGATAGACAATCCAAGTTGTCCAGCCTCCTTTTGGCTTATGTTGAACATGGAAGTTGCTTCTGAATACTTTTGGAACAACACTAGCATTTGGTCTAGATGCAAACTTGGGATGTCCGGAAAATTCCTGTTTAACCCTCTTTTTCCTTTCTCCCTCCCTCCCTTTCTTTGGATCTCTGCAGCTGCAGGCCACGCTGTTCGAGCTTTTATGCTGCTGGGGATGATTGCTGGTGCCGTCTCTTTCTTTGGTCTTTGCTCCTCATTCTTTAAATCTAAAGTCAGCTCCATGTCCCTGATCAAGACCTCAGCTAACGCCAGTATCCTTGCAGGTAAAACGGAGTGATATTGTGTCTTCCGGTTTCACAGTCGCTTTCACCTCCTCGGTTCCAGTAACGCCATGCCACAATCAGTGTTTCGAAACTGGCAAACTCTGTGCTGGAGCACTCTGCACTTTGGCCTCTAGAGCTGCTGCAGAGGCCGTCATATAAAAGACCATACCGCATGGGGGCCAGGGAGGCATCTTTCTGCTTCCATATCATGCCCCCAATAGAAATCTAGTTTTAGAAGAGGCAGCCGTGTCAGTCTGCAGGGGCATATCAGGCACAACCCAAAGGAAAGCAAAATAATGAAAAAGAAAAAAGGCCAAACATTTGTGACTCTTTCAGGACAAACTGTTATATTTTTCTATGAGCTTTTCTGGACAAGTCCTTCAGATATATGAGGTAAAATGCAGAGTTAGTAAAACATATAAGCACACATTGTTCCTCTGCCATCTTCTTCAACTGTATTACTGTTTCCGGTTGGTTTTTAAGGTACCACAAATAAAACCCTTCCTCTTTTTTTTGCTCGTGCCTTGCTTTCTGTTTTCTGTCTTGTTTGAGGAAATGTTTGCAAAAGCAGGCTTTAGGAGAACTGAACACCAAACTTCAGTCAGCATAGATTTACTGCAGTTGTGAAAAGCAACCATATACCACTGTGTCTCACAAGTCACTAAATCTCCCTCATTTTCTCCTGAAAACAACAACCTCTAAATATTTTTTTAACATGCAAACTGGTGACACTGTCTGAAATTCGGCTGCTTTGTTCCCTGATATTTTATTGTTCACTTGTTTACAGCTTGGTTTTTAGCTAGTTTAGCTGCCTTGAGGACTCTTTTGTAGTGGTAAGGAAGGGTGGAAATGTTATGGATGGATGGATGGATGGATGGATGGATGGATGGATGGATGGATGGATGGACGGACGGACAGACGGACGGAAGGATGGATTGAGTGATTGATTGATTGATTGGATTTGCAAACCACCCTATTAATGCAAGGTGGCAGGTAAGGCTGGCAATGTTATTATCAATCGATTGGTTTGATTGCATTTGATTTGATTTGCACACCACCCCATTAGTGCAAAGTGTTATTCTGGGTGGATTACAGCATAATAACAAAACATGACAAAGAATGAGTAAAACTAAGAAGAGATAAAACTAATAGTGCAAGAGGTGTAATCTCCAGATAAACAGCAGCACAAGAGGCATACAAATCAGATCAGGCTGCTTTGGAAGGCAGTTCTGGAAAGCAGCAGCTCCAGATGCCTTCTAAAGGTGAGGAGGGAGGGAGCCAAGTGCAGCTCCACTAGGAGCTGATTTCAAAGTTCTGGTGCCACAGCAAAGAAGGCCCCGCTTCTCGTGGTTGGTTTCCCAGTAGATGAGCTTGAGGAAAGGTGCTCTCACAAGCCACCAGTCTGGCGGCTGTATTTTGGACCTGCAAGCATGTTGTTGTTGTTGTTGTTGTTGTTGTTGTTGTTGTTGTTGTCGTCGTCGTCGTCGTCGTCGTCATCATCAGGGTACACTTATCTTCCTAATGATGACCACCATGCCTTTGAGTCTCTGTTTCTCAAGAGCACCATTGGGATGTTCGTGTCACCTTCATGTCCAGTTTCTGGACTACCTGTAGTCACCTGGTTGATGGGTGCAATAATCAGGATGCAGGACTGAACCAGTCTTTGGCCTGATCACCCAGAGAGTACATCTATTTATGCTTCCTTTTTGTTTCCTAGCACTTTGTGTCATGATTGCCATGGCCATTTTCACAGGAGCTTCATCTGCCCCAGGATTTGTTTACGGCTGGTCTTTCATCTTCGGATGGGCTTCTTTTCCTCTGTTTCTGATAACAGGTAAATACATGGAGAAGGGGGATGTTTGACTGTACCCCTTTATTCATACATTCACTAGATGTATTTTAAAAAATATTACAATATGTATGTATGTATGTATGTATGTATGTATGTATGTATGTATGTATGTATGTATGTATGTATGTATGTATGTATGTATGTATGTATGTATGTATGTATGTATGTATGTATGTATGTATGTATGTATGTATGTATGTATGTATGTATGTATGTATGTATGTATGTATGTATGTATGTATGTATGTATGTATGCATGTATGTATGCATGTATTTTTGTTTGTTTGTTTTTGTGATTTATATATTGGTCCATTAGAGTAAGCACTACTCTGGACAGTTTACAGATTAAATCTTGAAACCCCACAATGTAGGTTCAAACAATATAGTGAAACACAACTAGAAACTCTAGAATCCATTAAAAAAATAGAGAAGAACAAATACAGAATCCTAAAGATTCCATTGTTGAAGGCAGTTTTGAATAATTCCATTTTTACCAATTTCCTAAATATAAAGAGGAAAGGATTGTGGCGTATCTCAGTTGGTCACTTGTTCCAGAGATGTGGGGGCCACCACTGATTAGGCGTGATTCCTTGTCGTTGCCATTTGGACCTCTCTCGGTGTGGTTACTTTTAGCAAGATGGATTGAGAAGAGCAGGTGAAGCAGGCAGCTGGTTTCTAGGAGAGATGTTCCAACAAGTATCAAGGTCTTTGAGGGCTTTATAGGTCATTAATAGCAACTGGAATTGACTACAGAAATGGGCAGGGAGAGAATGAAGGCACACCAAGGCCAAAATTTCTGGGAGTTGTAATCCAAGAACATCTGGAGATTTAAGGTTGGGAACCACTGATCTAAATGTATCTGTCATGTAGTTCTGCAGACAGTCACATGTCCTGGACTTTGAGGAAGTTATTGACATAGAGGGGGCATAAAGATGACAGTGGAATTGGCAATCCAAGCATATCTATTGGCATTTTATTGTGCTTCATTAATTGCCAGCCTAATCAATCCATTTTCTCTCCTGACAGGTGTGGTGACTAACCTATCACGAAGTCGATCATAGGAGTGATCATGCAGAAAAGGTGCTGAAGCTTTGTGAGATGACACAAATTACAAGCATTTGCAGACGACTTGGTGTTTATTTTGGAAGATCCATTGGGAACAACATTGAGACTACTGGAGAAAATTGATGAATTCAGAGAAATAGCAAGACTGAAGATAAACCAAGAAAAAACTAAAGTTATGGAGCTAAACAAAAAATAAACTCTCAGAGACATCAGACCTACAAATAGTTTAAAAAGTTAAATACCTTGCAATATACAGTATCTAACTGCCAGATGTGTAACTATTAAAAAAGATATTTATATAAAACTACTTAACCAAATAAAAATGGACCTAGAAAAATAGAAAAATCTACAATTATCACTATTAGGAAGAATTGCAACAATCAAAATGAACATATCGCCAGAACTACTCTTTCTGTTTCAAACAGTGGCAGTGAAAATAGAGAAGAAATACTTTGATGATCTAAGCAAGGCGATATTAAATTCTATTTGGCAAGGGAAGAAAGCCAGAATCAAATTGAAAATGCTCCAAGAATCCAAGGAAAAAGGAGGCTTTGGTTTACCGGACTGGACCTTATATTACCAATCATATGTCCTAATGTGGCTGAAAGAATGGATTAATCTGAAAAACAAAAGACTTTTGTATTTAGAGGGGCATGATTTACAATTGGGTTGGCATGCCTTTTTATGGTTTCAGAAAGCTGAAACCCACAGGTATTTCCAAAACCACTATACAGTGGTGCCCCGCATAGCGACGATAATCCGTGCAGCAAAAATTGCTGCAAAGCGATTTCGTTGCTATGCGGTTTTAAAAAGCCCATAGGAATGCATTGGAACCCCTTCAATGCATACCTATGTGCTTAAAACTCACCTTTAAGCGAAAATCCTCCGTACGGCGGCCATTTTTGCGGCCCGGTAAGCAAGGAATCCGGGCGAAAACACAGCGGGCGGCCATTTTATTTACCTGGTGGCCATTTTGGAACCGCCAATCAGCTGTGGGAAAATCATTGCTATGCGATGATCAGTATGTGAAACAGGGTACCGATCATCGCAAAGCGATTTTTCCCTATATAAAACATTGCAATGTGATTGCAAAAGCGATCGCAAAAAATTGTCGCTATGCTGATTCGTCGTTAAACGGGGTGCCCGTTAAGCGAGGCACCACTGTATTAGAAATTCCTTGTATATAATAAGGGAAAAAAATTAAAATGTACACAAAAATACCAGGATGGGTTTCACCTGTAGAAGCATTTGTTCATCCCAATCTTCTAAATTTTGAAATTTGTTTTACTTATGCAAATAATTTATTTTAATTATGCAAATATCTTAGATATAGACAGGAGATTAAAGCCGAAACA